TGTGGAGGATGTCAAAATCTTGTGGAAGATAATCTACGAAATGTCGTATCCATTAAACAGCGACATTCCAGTAATTGTTAATTTCGAGGTTATTTACCACAAACACCTAGATGTGCCAAAGGCTTGTAAGGCATAAATAATTGGTGGTGGAAGAAATTTCCCTCCATTCTGGCGGAAGTGTTCAACTCACGGTGACCCCAGGGAAAACTAATTTCAGACTGGTGTGCCGAGAGACGAACTGTGCTTGTCTCTAAAAAGGATTATATATATATATATATATATATATATATATATATATATATATATATATATATATATATATATATATATATATATATATATATATACACAGGGAAATAGCTAGACGCGGGTTAGTTACGAACAGTAAAAAATGTAGAAATTAATCGGGTATTCCCGCATAAAGAAAAAAATTGCAAGGTGGAAAAATGCAAAATTGCAAATGGCAGAAAGATGCAAACCGTGGACACGCGCCTCTGACTAATTGGTCCTCATCAGCACGGTGTAGCTGAGTTAAAAATGATGGACAAAACTCAGAAAAGACACTAAAGGGAAAACCACTGAAAGGTTGCGACTGGCTGTCTGTCAGTGGTTTTCCCTTTAGTGTCTTTTCTGAGTTTTGTCCATCATTTTAACTCAGCTACACCGTGCTGATGAGGACCAATTAGTCAGAGGCGCGTGTCCACGGTTTGCATCTTTCTGCCATTTGCAATTTTGCATTTTTCCACCTTGCAATTTTTTTTCTTTTTTTTTTTTATGCGGGAATACCCGATTAATTTCTACATATATATATATATATATATATATATATATATATATATATATATATATATATATATATATATATATATATATATATATATATATATATATATATATATATATATATATATATATATATATATATATATATATATATATATATATATATATATATATATATATATATATATATATATATATATATATATATATATATATATATATATATATATATATATATATACATATATATATATATGTTGCAATATCGCCTTATCTAGGTATATAATTGAGTAAAAATACAATATAATAACATAAATCGGGTGACTTATAGTGAAATAACAATTGGAATTATTTATAAGCAAAAATATGCCTTTATAAAATGAATTTTAGAAGGAAACAGAGTTAATAAGCCATGTACAGAGACAATTTATAGATTGGCAGATATTACTATGCATTATATGAGTAATGAATGACTATAAAAACAGTAAAATATGATTTTCTTAGATTTGTGGGCGAATGAATGAATAGGGGTAGTATTGTGTATAAAAGCAAACATAAAATATTAATATAGGGGTAGAATAGGTTAACATAAATGTTTGTATGATAAAAATTTGTTACTTGACATGGACGATAGATAAAACTGGTGTCGTAGTGTAGATTTCAGCCAGCAACTCTGTTGAACCCAAATAGACAGTGTCGATCCAATGTGGAGTGAGGATTTGTAGTTGTAAAAGCACCAAAGGCAGTCAGAAAGCTGAAAAATTATAAATTATTAGGACTATTATGTAAAATAGGTAAAGTTTAGGCCATGGGAGATAGGACATGGACAGTGATTATGTAAAATAGGTGAAATTTAAGTAAAAGTGAGACGATAACATGAAACAAATCATTTCATGGTGAAAGTAAACTGCATATTTGTAAACTGTAATAGACTTACCAAATTATAAGTATTGTGTTGTATATAATCTGTCAGAGTACGGTAGACAAGGAACTGTAAAAATGGTATTTATGAACCGCAGACAGGCCTGGAAATGCTTGCTGAGGTAAAATTCTTCAGTCATTAAGCTGAAAAGCATATAAAGTATAAACATTGTGTTAAAATAGGTCTAAAAGTACAAGTTATATAGAAAACAGTGAGATTATTAGGTAGTAATGGCAAAAACCTTAAACAGTGCTACGTTTTATAAATTAATGTCTCGATTTGTAACAAAAAATGTGTTGTATAGTTAGAAAAGGTGAAAGACTTACCTAGTCATGGGTGAGCACATAGACTGGAACAGTTAAATAGTGTCCAGCCATCAAATTAGGTGGAATGGAAATATTCAGGTAACGATGAGATGTAAAACCACTCACAGCTTCTGTAATTTTGTGTAGACTTAAGATTTTTAACAGCCAGGTGCAAGGACAATATCTCATAGACATTTTATAAATGAATTTAGGGCAACAGAATGTGTATTTAATTGGCTAGACATCAATGTTGATGAAGGTACATGGCCTACGAATAAAACATGTCATATCAGATTAAAATTTTATTGGTATAAGCTAAAATGTGTTAGGATAATTAAGTTAGGGTTTGGAATTGTGTTATTTGTTAAAATAGATATGTTTTGAGTTAAATATTAAACATTATTTCTATATTTATGGGTGTAAATTAAGTTAGGTTAGGAGTGTAGAAAATTTTGTTAAAACCCAGACTATTGTATGCTAAAAGACGGGGAAAATTCTAGTGTAAATGAATATCATAATAGTTTTTCATAAGGATCATTCATAGCTACAGGAACATAGAAAATACAAAATTTATAAATTTTTAATAAAAAACATAGTAGGCTAGAAGTTGAATTTTGACAAGTAAATTGGAAATCAAGCCATATAATTGGGCGATTTCGAGGAGACAAACAGTTTTTGATGGTGCTTCAAAGGGTATACTACCTTCGTTTGTTAAAAAAACTCCTAACCTCAAATTTGTAACATGGCCTACTAGATTAAAAAGTTTCGAAAATAAAGTTTTGTGAGGTTAGAAATGTAAAGGAGATAAATTTAAAAGGAAATTATTATGTTCCGTGTTCCTGGGAGCTGTTTTTATTAAATTTAATTGTCAACAAGTGTTAAAAAGAATGTAAACTTACCTGTCAGTAATTTTAAGTAACCCAACGTGTCACAGTGAACCACCGAAGTTAAGTGCAAGTAAATATGCCACATCGGCTTTAAAGTGAAATAGTTTTTTAAAAAAGTAAAGTGTTTTGTGCATCGATAGAGTCAACGTAAACTTCAAAAACAACAAACCAGTCCAGTCAGATGACAGCAAAAGAGCCACGCAGCGACATTCAGGAGAACTAGGAAGGAATGAGATATACAGGGTGTTCTCGGTATAAAGTCGAGTAAGGTTGGTGTAACGTGTTTAAATAAAAATTTCATGTCTGCAAATTTCAAAATTGTATTTCTTTGTTTGTAACATTGTATTTTGGTTTGTGTGTAAATTATATGTTTGTTTTGCGAAAAATAGTGCCTTTCATTTATTTGCCACAGCATAGATAAGAATTTCATTTATTTACAAAAATAATAAAAACCCACAGATTATAATATATATATATATATATATATATATATATATATATATATATATATATATATATATATATATATATATATATATATATATATATATATATATATATATATATATATATATATATATATATATATATATATATATACATATATATAGGTATATATATATATATATATATATATATATATATATATATATATATATATATATATATATATATATATATATATATATATATATATATATATATATATATATATATATATATATATATATATATATATATATATATATATATATATTAAATCAAATAATAAATTAGTGTCAACTAATATAATTTATTTGGATAAATGTATTTGTTTTTTAAACATCAACATAAAATTAATATGTCAGTGTAAATATTTTTATCACATAATTCATGTATTTCTTCTGATGACTCCATCAGTTTCCGTGGCTCGCAGGCGCTCGCCCTGGAAATTGCCAGGTCGTTCAGTAAATAATCACTTTTATCACAAATTTAACTGTGTTTGGAAAACTTTTGAGTGAAAATTACATCTTTACTGGTCTAGCTCGGTAAAGTAACATAAGGGATTGGTAAAGTAATTATTTACAACCATATATATGTAATGTTAACATTACTGACTTTATTGATGATTTGGAAGTGTTACATTACATACCTCTACTCTCCGTCCTCATTCCCTGCTATCATTTCCCACACTCATTTCCAGCTTCCTAAAATTTGAAACTGTAAAATTTTACTTTTATTATTAAAAGCAGCATATTTTTTTAAAATAAAAAAAGAAAATTTTTTGTGAATTTTATATTTAATGGCAAATAAGGAAACAGCAATAACAAGAAGGAACTAAAATACAAAAAAACTATTCATTAAAATTAATTGTAAGCCTTTATCGATATTTTTGGGCCAGCGCCAGCGTCCCCAGTGGTGGTCTTTTTGGCTGCTAAGGTAATTTATTGTTGAATGGCTGCCGAGATTTGTGAGATACTTAAAGAATTGCCCAACGACATGGGACGGGTGGACAGCATGGTGGCGGTTTTGGTTTTGTTCGAAAAATTTCGACCCAGCTTATGTCAGTAATAAGAAATGCTCTACTGTGTGTTTTGGAATCTGAAATTCTAATATTGTATTATATTGTTTGCATTATATTTCTCGTATTTTGTGAGTCATTTTAAATAGAATGCATGCAAAAAAATATAAAAATTTTCACTTTGTCAAAAAACTACCCCCTACAAAGCCACCCATGAGTTTGATATTTTTTTTATTATTTTTTTCATACTTCATGAGTCTTTTCAAATAGGTTACATAAAAAAATACTTGTAAATAGCCACTGCCAAATAACCACCCCTTAAAACCCACTCCATATTTACTTATTTTTTTCACTATTTTTCTCGTAATATGTACGTTATTCCAGACTTATTAAGACAATAATCAGATTTTTGTCAACTTCTTTCTGATTTTGGACCACTGTGCATCATCATGTCTAATTTGATCTGGACGAAATAAGTAATTTTCATTAAAAATATTTTTTTTTGTTTTAGAGATATACAGTGACTAACCGTGTAGTGTCTTAACAATGCCCTAATCAACTGTGTTATCGTCTTGGTATTTAAAAACGTCACTATACAATCATGCCCTAGTCAGGATTCGAACTTGGGACCCTTTGGTTTCAAGCCTAACGCACAAGCACTAAACCACTGGGCCGGCCTATATTCATGAAATTTTTTAATGACATACAAAATTAAATTTAGCATCGTTATTATCAGTAACAGTTAATCTGATGAGAAATTTTAAAGACCTGTTCAATACAATTTTTATTTCGATTATTTTTTTTATTTAAAATTATCTGTAAAGTTTCAGATTTATACATTGTGCTTTATTTGAGAAAAATATATAACGCCATAGTTCAAAAACTGACTCGCCGACACACAGACACTCTGATAGCACAGCGTGACAGAGCGGATCAATTTGCTATTTTCGGATCTCAAAACATCAATTTTCATCATAATATGGAAATTGATTTTTTTACGGCACCAATACCTTTTCTGCATTTATGGATGTATGAAAAAAATAAAAATTAAGTTTTCTGTATTTGTATGTATTATTAAATTAATGAAAACAATATTATTCGTTTCTTTAGAATAATTTAGAGAAGAGAATTTTTCAGTTTTAATTTATCTCCAGTCTATTCTCTTATAAATTTATTATTCTCTTTATCCAAACTGGTTTGAAAGTAAGTTTCTGAGAAATCAGTAACTATAAAATATTGCCCTCCTTAAAGTGATACAATAATATGTACTGCTGTAAGTCAAGGATAGTTTTCATTGAGTCATTTGTTGAGGTTGTCCACCAGGTTTTTTAACAACTGTTGGAGCAGCCAATTCTAATGAAACAGTAGGCTATATAAGATCACAAATTATTAAACGGTCTAATTTTTTTCAACATCAGCTTGAACAGCGAATCATAAAGGTCTAGCTTTGTAATAATGTCGGCTGCACAAATAGTTTCATGACCTTTAACTTTTATTAAAAAGCTTAATTCCTCTTTAAAAATGTCATTTGTTTTATTTAAGCTTGCAGGGAAACTATCCTAAGAACTCAATGGATAATATAGCAGAATTGTATAAATCTCGCGGACTCAGTGATGTTAAATTTAAGTTTTCAATCTCTCTCTCTCTCTCCTAATAAATAGAACAGTGAAATATGGCAGTCTCGTCCCATTCTTCTGGCGGCTTGTATATTAGCTTAAAATGCAAAAACTTCAATTTTAGGCAACTATTGTGTAGTAGATATAACATCTCTCAGAGGGGATGTATAGCAGACGGTCCCTTGTTTATAAGATGTTAGAAAAGTGAAAGTTTCCTACTCTTCGACAAAAACGAGGTTCGGCAATATTTCCAGGTTGTGGCTAGCTCATCTCCTGGAGTCAGTGATTGACCGTGGTAGCGGAAACAAATGATTAAAAAAACTTTAATCCGTTACATTTATTAAATATTATCGACATACATATAGAATTCTTATAAGTACATTTTTTATAGTATTGCCCTCTTATTGCAAGTTATGTAACTTTTGAACATATTATGAGAAAGATTAATAGATTTTAACGAGTATAAACAAATCAGATATTATTTTTACTGTTGAATTCATCATCAAATCATTTTCAATTTTCACTTTCATGGCAAATCATTGATTATACTGATGTGAAATACCACTTGCTTCTTCTAAGTTCGAATAAATCAGAAGAAAAAACAAAGTTTACTGATTTAATTATATTTGGTCTTTCTGAAATAAGCTATCCATTAGAGGAGTGTAGATCGCATTAGATTTTCAATATAGGAATATTGGAAGTATCGCAAAACTGCCGAAGTAATAATGTGGATATATCTGAAAAAAATAATCCTAAGGGATTGCTGTAAATTGTTTTATAGGTTCGAATTGGGAATAAAAAAAGTTACCAATACTTTTTTGAGGATAAATAATTTAGAACTGAGATATTCGTAAAATGGCATCTCATTTTAAAAAAATCTTTGTCTTTTCTTGCGAGAACATTAAATTCTTATATATTGAAATTATAAAATTGTTATTTATCGTATGAGTTTTATTGTTGCTCAATAATATTTCTCTCTTAAAACACAAGAACTGCTGTTTTCCATTACTTTATGTAACGTTTGCATGATATACACAGTGGTCCGATATTTACCTTTAAAACTTGTAAAATTTGGAGTTTGCTATAAAAATTTACATCGAAAACACAGTATTCAAGATACATGGTATTAAAGTTACAATATCTTTTTTGGTTTTTCCAATTATCTCTTGACCTAAACGAGATATTTTAAATAAACTTGAAAAAAAATTTTTCTAAATTAATGCGTTATTCTAAAAACTTTTCATTTCCCTACTTCAACCAAAGACCTAGTGGTAGGGTTTTGATTCTTTTTAAAACAAGAAAACATAGTACGCCACTAAATAAATTCAAAATCTGTCATTATATTATAAGAAAAGTGTACTTCTGTAATTTTTCCATAAAAATTAAAGATCTTCTGTAAAATGGTTTTTAAAATCGTACACCACGACTTTTTTTATGAAAGAGAAATGTTAGGAGAGAGTCTTTTAACAAAGTTAAATCAACTTCCAAGTTTTAAGCGAGACAAGCCTAAATGTTACATACCGTGTGTCTCAAATTCGATGCTCGCCATTGCGATTTCGTAAACCATAAGAACTACAAAGTCGGTTAAATGGGATAAGTTTTAACAATTTTTATGCTGATTCCAAATCCGTTAAGAAATCACGGCTATCTGAAACCGTTTTTGCGATTTTCAAAAAAAAAAAACGAAAATTTTGTGATTTCTCGTTTTTGGCTGTAGACAAGTAATCCTTAGTCATACAGGTTTTAGACTTTTACATTATCAAGACACTTTTTGGAGACTAATATTTTGGTATAGAAACGAATGTTCGATATTCTCTTGTTTTCGAGATATCTGAGGTAACTTTTGCTTTTCTTATTGCAACCATATTGGGTTTTTCGTTTTTTATATTGCGCTTAAATAGAACTTGCAAATAATGTATTACATGCCGAGGAAAAATGTTTTTCAAGGGAGTAATTTAAGAAAAGTTATCCATTGCTTAACAAAACAAAATAGTAGGCCATGGAAAATCAATAAGTTATTTTGATTTCATGGATATACATTATAAAAAATAACAGTAATATTAAGGTTACTTAAATACTGAACATAATAGATATGAAGAATTTCTTTTAATAGCAACAAATTAACATAATAGAAGAAATTATAGTAAAGAAGTAAGAAGATTCAATAAAACTGGTCAATATGAGCTCCATTTAGCTGAATACATTTTTATCATCTACGCCTGAGCTGATTACTCTTCTGAGAGTATTGGCATTTATTATGCCGAAAACGTCCTTACTATGTCTTAAAAAATATCGAGTTTGTTTCTGGGCATTCAAAATAATACACTTTATTTTTCACCGTCCCCCACAAATAAAAATCAGAAGGTGTTATATCAGGCCAGCGGGGAGGCCACAATACTGGTCCTCTATTTGAAATTAAGCGGTTACCAAAATTTTTCTACAATATTCGTCCTACATTATTATGTGCAGGACAGCCATCTTGTTGGAACCAAAATTCGTTTATTTTTTGTTCTGTAAAAAGCTGTCTTATTTCAGGAAAAACTTAATTTTCTAGAAGTTCACGACAGGCTGTTTCAGTTATCTGTGATTTCTTAACGTATTTGGAATCAGCATCAAATTTGCTAAAACGTATCTCATTTAACCAACCCTGTAGCTCTTACCATTTCCGAGATCCCAATAGTGAGCATCGAATTTGGGACACACGGTATACATACTGAACAATGGATGTGTAATAAAAGATATATTTATATAGTTTTCGTCAATTTCTGGTTATAAGGTTTTTTAGAAAGTTCTAACAGGAAACTTATTAACATTTTCACGTATAACTTTTACAGTTTATGTTTAAAGAGTGGATTTAAAGCATAGGATTACGGCAAATAGGTACAATATTAGAAATTTAAGTTGAAGAGTTTTTCCATTTCTTTACTTGAAGTATCTATTCTATATCTGGTTTAAATTTTGTATGCTCACACCGTCAAGCAGCATTTGATCTAACATCATTGTAAATTTGGAAGTTCTGATATGGCAGATATGATTTTTTTTAAATCACCACTGTTTTAAGTGCCCTGTGAATGGTTCTCAATTATTGTTACAAAATATGGAGTTTTGAAATGATTCTATTCGGTAGATATTAAATATGTTTCAGACATTTTAATGAAACAATGTTAATTGTTATGTTGAAAATATGCGTTTTGAAACCAAGTCATTTGATATTTAATGAAACTAAAAGCATCTTGAAACTAAATAATTTATTTAATATCCATAGAAATAGTTAAAACAGTTTCAAACATAGAACAACATTATTAAAAGAGCTGCTCAAATGCAAACCACCCACATCATTACTTTTTTGACACTTTCGAATTAATGAATTAATTGCTAGTAGATTTTAAAGACACAAAAACTGGCGTACGTTTTTTTGGTTAGGAATTATCGATACCCCCACTGCAATGTCTCTAGTTGAAGTATAGAAATGGACATTATCAAGAACAGTACTTATTGCGAAACATTTACTTACCAAGTTTGCTTTCTTCTTGGGACTTAACTACCACATAAATAATTCCTCTAAACTTGATTATCTAAAAATACAGTTAACCAGTATGTTATTGAAAGAAGAAGGCTCTGCGTCTGTGAATTTACGTTAAAGTAACAATCAGAGGGTGTTTTTTAATAACTAAAATAATAATATAATTCCCCAAAGTTTCGGAAATGAAATCTGCTTCCTTTTTCAAAGATTTTTAGTTTTTGTAAAATACGGATAGCGCAAAAATTTACGTATTATTTGTTTATATAATACTCATAGATACTTATAGAGAACTGTTGATACTTAAAACTATACAATAGGTCTGTTCTTTTCATCTCCACGTCTACACTTTTCACAGTTACCGACCAATAGAGGAACCTGAGATTTGAAAATTCAATCTCAGTGAATTTTAAGCTGTACAGGGTCATCATGCGAAAATATACTTTTTTTTTAATATCTTGGTTACATTTGAAGATATCAAAAAGGTGTAAAAGACCTTCATTAAGTAATTTTTTCCGCAGAATGCAAATTTTGAATC